GGGGCCCCTGCCGCATCAGCCTCTCGGCCTGCCCCGGCCGCCCGCCCACGCTGCACATCCTGCCCTGCTCCGACTACGTCTGCTGCCACATCTCCATGGCCGTGCGCCTCATCCCCGCCATCCCCCTGGGCGACGCGCTCTACCTCACGGCCCTGCCGCCCGAGGGCCCGCAGGCGCCCCTGGCCCCCGAGGCCCTCTGGGGCCTCAACGCCTCGCGGCAGGAGCAGCGGCTGCTGAGCTGGCTGAAGGAGCAGGCCCCGGCCTCCTCCTGCCACCTCAAGTGCCTGCAGATCCTCAAGGGCCTGCGGGACCTCCGCGGGCAGGGCCTGGAGGAGCCCTTCTGCTCCCAGTGGGGCCGGGTACTCTCCTCCTACGTGCTGAAGACGGCCCTCTTCTCCCTGCTGCTGCAGGGGCCCTTGGAGGCCTGGGACGAGCGGTTCCTGGTAGAGCGGCTGGAGGACCTGGTGCTGTACCTCAGGAACTGCCTGCGCAAGCAGGTGCTGATGCATTTCTTCCTGGGCAACACCAGCCTCCCCGAGGCGGTGGCGCTGCCCCGGTTCCTCAAGGAAGCCGCCCCCGTGAACTTGCTGGCTGCCTTCGATGGGCCCACGCTGGACCTGGCTGCCTTCCAGCTGATCAACACCTGGATCCAGGCCCCGCACATCATCAGGATGTACAGCAGCCCTCGGTACTTGCGACCAGCACTCACCCCGTGCCGGCACGTCGCCGAGGTCAGGCAGGAGCCGCCAGGAGAGTGAGCCAGTGGCTGGGTGAGCCGGCATCGCCCGTGGACCCTGCCAGGGCAGCGTGCACTCCCAGCCCGTCGGTCCGCCGAGAGCCTGCATCTGCCCGAGGAAGGTGGGATCCGTTTAAATGTGGTTCCGTGGTTTTGTCCCTGGCCTGAGAAAACTAGGAAACCAGAGGCCAAGACTTAATGAAACTGTGATTCTCAGTTTTTAATCTCGTTGGATGTTCATGGGAAAATTGTGAAATTTCTGAGAAATGCCTTAGTCAAAGTGTTACATTCAGTTGACTTTGCAAACCTGACTTTAACAGGCTCAAACTGACATTTCTGGAAGTCCATGTTGTTCTTGTTGTCTTAGTGTCAAAATTGATCTTTTCCTGAGATTTGCTTTTTATGATACAAAATCCATTTGGGATTTAAAAATCCTGTAAGTGCAAACAACCCCCCCCCAATGTACCAAGGTGCTCTTAAAATGCGATAAGCACTAGAGCATGGGTGTTGATCACAGCTTGAAGTGCTCAATGACATGCTTTAAATTTCCTGTGTAATCAAATACATTGTGCCGAATAGAAATATAATATGCATGTTAACGTAAAATTGAGGGAAGAAGCGAAACCTCTCCGACAACAGTATGAAGAATCTAGTTGCACGTTTCCGTGTTCAAGTGAAGGTTATACTGAAGGACTGAAATCTAGATAAAAGGAAATAAATAGCACTTTATTTTCACAAAGGCCTTCTTTTTAGGATAATTGGCTGCACTAAATACTTGCTAGGGAGGAGGCATTAGTATTTTTTTTAAAGGGATGATGTTTGAATCATCCTGAAGAAAACCTTCTTTTAAGGAAACACTCTGAGGTTCGTTTGTTTGTGGGTTCTTGTTGAGATTTATTTTTTTTTCCGTCTTCAAGTATTTTTTTCTTAGAATTTCCTTTACCTCAAGGACCAACAACAAAACTAAGACATTGTGTTTGTGTTTGTTTTTTTTTTTTTTTTTGTTTTGGAACAAACCTTAAACCAGTCCAAATCTCAGTGCCATAGGCTGACTGCTGCGCCCTCCTGCTCTCTGGCAGGAGTTTGGTGGGATTTTTGGATGACTGCCTAACCAGTTGTCTGATTGTGGCGGTGTTTTGACCAAATAACCTGATGGGATTTTCTAGTGCTGTGCTATGGCAAATTGTTATCTTGTTGCGGGGAGGAGGAAGTGAAATATTTCAGGGTACTTCAAAAGTATTTAGCACTGATTCATGGTACAGTGGCAGTCTTAGGCTATGGATTCCGGTGTCCTCTAAGTATAGATACCAGCCAGATAATTTCCACTTCTTGCCTGGTTATGTCCCAGTCGCTGGAATAACCCGGTGAGTTGTAACATAGCCAGCTCTGCAAGTGACCTTAGCTCCTGGTGCAGGTACCTGGGCTACAGGAACCTGAAGTGTGCCAGGGTTTCAGCAAACTCAGAATTTCAAATCCTTGCTTTATTGGGTCACCTGCTCAAGTATTTGCTATATGAATACCCCAAAACGTGTTGCTGAATTGCTGGTTCTCAGGAAGCTGAGCGTGTGCCTTATTACCCACTATACTGTGTCCTAGGTGAGCAGTCTGAAATGAGTTATAAATGACCAAGTATAACTTCTGGGAAGCTTTAGGATAACTTGAAGTTACTAACATACTCCTCCTCTCCCTGATGTACATTGAGATATCAGTGTGCTTTATTCACAGTTCTGTGCATCAGAGCACAAAACAAACATTTGCAAAATGTATGAAGCTTTATAAAAATCTACTTTTCTAAATGGAAACACTCCCTAGGCAGATGTTTGCCTGCTTCTGTCTATTTTTTTAACTGCTCTTGCAGTCTTATTTTCAGGTAATTATAGCCTAGGTCACACCCGCAAGTTGGGTTATTTTTATATATGAAGCACCGTGCTTCTTTCTACAAATACAAGTAGTGTATTTATAGGTAGTATTGATCAAATGTTCTTTGCACATGGTATTTAAGGCTAAGTGAGCTACCTTGGTGTTCTGAATGGTTTTTTTTTTGGTAGTAGACCATGATACGTATTATTTTTGCAGACTTATTTTACTTGGTATTTGAAATAAAAGGCAGTTCTGCAGTCGCTGCCATTGAATCTTTTGCCCAAAGAAGGACTAGATGACCGCCCCAGGGTATTGTGGCTGCCTGAACCCATGACAGAAAAACCCTTTAGCTGTTAATTCTGGCATCATAACCACTTCAGTCAGCTGTCGGTTTGTTTACCTCACTGCGCATCCCTGTCTCTGAAGAGCAATCTTTTCTCTGAAAAGGGATGCACGCTTGGTGTGTATTTAGTATTGCTGCAATGCATAGAAATCTGTAATAGACTTGTTAAGGACCTTCTCACTAAAATGTAGTAATGCCGGGAAAAGACAGTTGCATCAGGAAATGCATGACAAGTAGAGATGGTGGAGAAGACGAACAGTTAGAAAACGAAAGTTGGGCTGAGGGGTGAGTGACAATGATGGTAAACTCTCAGTGAAGACACACTGCAAGCAAGCCAAAGGACATGGGGATAAAATTGGAGGAGAGTTATTGAAAGCGAGGCAGATTTGGA